TAATAAAGGATAAAAGATTATACCTTTGACACGTGCTTCGCTCAACTATGAGCTCTTACTTGAACCCCGAAAATACGAGGCCTCCGACGGGATCGTACCCTCGAACCCGACCCGAGCGTCCTAAGCCTCGAAGGTTAGTCGAGGCCAGGACAAAATATAAACTTGGAGTTTTACGAATTTCAAGGTATACTCAACAATGGAGTTGCCCTTACTTTTCCACTCAAGTGTTCTTTCCCAAATACCCAAACTTTGGTATTTATAGGGAAATGAACCCTAGATCTTCATTCCCCAACCAATGTGGGAGAATGAGTAATTTTGACAATTAATTTAATTCCAAATTAAATTAATAATCAAATCAATCACAATGCAACAAGTGTCAAGGGGAGAGAGAGAGTTAAGTGAGGACCAAGAACAGGTGGGGGGGGGGACCATTTCCTTGCTCCCCAAGGCTTTGCCCAAGCCTTGGTCCCCACCCCTCACAAAACCGCCATAATGCATTTGGGTGAGCTGGTTGCTTGCCTTGCTGGCCGGCAAGCACAGCCACCCTAGCATGCCCAGTTGGCACGCACAGCACGCATCACCCAGCCCTCCCAGCACTTGTGTGCTGCTAGCGAGCCACACCTTATGCTGGGCGCTGGGCGCTGCTGCCTGGTCATCGCACACACACACACACGCACAGGCATGTGGTGCTGCTGCCTACCCCTTCTCGCATATATTCGCATAGCCAGCATGCGTGCTGCTAGCGAGCCACGCATGCTGGCCCCTTGCCTCGCCAGCCACACGCACAAGCATGTGAAGCTTGGTGTTGTGGATGCTGCGATGGCTTGCACGCATGCGCACTGAGCGAGGCTAGTGCTGCTGCTACGATGCCCTATACGCACACGCACATACGCACTGGACTAGCCATGCGATAGTGCGTATGCTTGTGCTAGAGCTTGGGATGGTGCGAGGCACACACACACACGCACATAAGCAAGTTCCCAGCACTGCGATGGGCTATGCTTGGTGCGTGTGGCCTGCGATGGCGCCTAGGCACCCAAGCACGCATGTTGTGGTGTTGTGCCATGCTAAGGCACGCACACACGCACATGGTGCTATGATGGGCAACCTAGTGTGCCTAGCATGTATGGCACGCCTAGCACACACATGGTGCGCCTAGGCTTGCGATGGGCTAGCCTAGCCCAACACTTCACATGGCTAGGCCAATGTGATGCTACGGTTATGCTCGTACTTGTTGCTTGTGATTTTACGACGCTCGGCCACAACGCCCTAGGCTCGATATCCGACGTCTTTGTTCGTAAAACTATGACGACTCATTAAATCCTTCGGATTGATTCGTCGTCTCGGATCGGTTGTTCGATTGGGTTCGACCCGAAGGGTTCAGTTAACATTAAGCTGTAATATTAATTATACCTTAATATTACTGATCGGAAGCGGCCTCCACCTAGGCATTCCGATCACTTGATCTTACTGAAGAATTAGCTCTGTAATAATTCTGAACCCTCTATCAGAATAATAAACTTGTTGGAAGGACACTATTCCTTTTAAACCGGATGTGCCAAGAAGTAAGGCTTCAACTTCTTGACTGCCATGTAAAGAGCTAGGCATAACTTTTCAACGGTTGAGTAACGTAGTTCAGCATTTTGAAGAACATGGCTAATGAAGTAAACCGGGAGCTGGGTGCCGTCTCTCTCAGCAAGGAGAACGGTAATGAGGGCATGGTCTGAGACGGCTAAGTACATGTAAAGCAACTCCTGTGGTAGAGGGCTAACAAGCCTTAGCAACGAGTGCAAGTGTTCTTTCAACTTCAGGAAGTCCGCCTCAGCATCCTCCCCCCATTCAAATCTAGTATTCTTTTTTATTGCTTGGAAGAAATAGAGGCACTTATCACCTGACCAGCTGAGGAATATTCCCAATGCCGCAAGACAACCGGTTAATTTTTTAACTTACTTGACAGTGTGGGGTGACTTCATGTCAATAACCGCCTATATCTTCTCTAGGTTGGCCTCTATCCTCTATTGGTCAATCAGAAATCTGAGAAACTTTCCAGACTCAACACCAAAGACACACTTCTTGGGATTAAGCATGACCTTGTGCCGCCTGAGGATGGTGAAGGTTTCTCGGAGGTCGGTAAGATGATCTGTCTGTAGCTTGGATTTGGCTATCATGTCATCAATGTATGCCTCTAAGTTCCTCCCAATTTGATTAATGAAGACTGTATTAATCATTTGTTGGAAGGTAGCAGGCGCAATTTTCAACCCAAATGGCATCACTGTATAGGAGAATAACCCTTGATCACTGACGAATGTCGTCTTTTATTGATCTTTCTTCCACAAGGGTATCTGATGAAAGCATAGGCGTCCATAAAGCTCATCTAGGCATGACCGCTGTGGAGATAACCAGACTGTCGATCTTTGGAAGTGGGTAACTATCCTTTGGACATGCCTTGTTCAGATTTGTGTAGTCAACACACATGCGCTAGATACCATTCGGCTTTTTTACAAGAACAACATTTGCAACCCAATCCGGGAAGTAACATTGCCGAATGAACCCAGCATCCAACAGCTTCTTTACTTCGGCGACTGCCGCCTAACTTCTTTCCTCGTCGTGGTTCCTTTTCCTTTTCCTAACCGGCTTTGTAATACCCCGTATTTTTATACGTATTTTATTTTAAATAAGTATTTTCTTAAAAGTATGTAAATAATTCGAAATGAATTATTTAGGGTTTTTCATTAATTTAAAAAGAATGATTTTTACTAAAAGTGTATTTTAAATTATTTAATAATCTTGAAAATATTTTTATTTCATGATTTAAAAATATTGGGGCATATTATTTTATAAAAAGATAAATTTTAAAGTCAATTATATTTATGGAAAGTCAAAATACAAGTTTGACAAGGAAAGGGATCATTAAGGGTAGTAAAGGAATTTCTAAGTAGGAGGGATTGAGAGGGGGTATAAATACCCATCATATGCCTAAGGTGGAGTGCACCCAAAGGTAAACTCTCTCTCTCCTCTTAATTTCTTTTCTCCTTAATTTTTCCCCTTCCCCTTAACTTTAATTTATGTTATTTATTTTTTTAATCACCACCACACACCACCACAGGCCGGCGGCCACCACCACCAGCACTCGCCGGCAGCAGCAGCCACCAGGCGGCGGCGGCAGACAGCCTTGGTAGTTGTGCACCGGTGGTTTACAAAAAAAAATAAAAAATTATTATGTTGTTTTTTATTTAAATTAAATCTACCTAAATTTAATTATTGTTTTTTGGGTTTTTTGGAGATTCTATGATGTTTAATAATAAGTATTTTGTATATAAATTTCCAGATTTTGGTTTTGAATTAAAAAGCCCCAAATTGAAAACCCTAGGTTTCTAAATTAATGTTTATTGATGGGATTTGATTGTAGGTGATTTAAATTATTGGAATAGGTGCTTTAAAACATAATTACAACAATTTAAGATGTTTTAATAATGCTGGAATTTTTAAATATAAGCTTTAATTAAGTTTCTTGAAAGGATTTTTAATTACCCATTAATTGGGAATAAAAGTAAGGGTTTTAAGTTAAATTTCAGATTATTTTAGAGGGTTTATGAGTGATTTAAAGACAGAATATATTTCTGGAAATTTGCGTGATAGAGGTATTAATACTTCTTTGTAATTTTGGTTTGTAGGAGATTTCCAAGTGAGTGATTTTATTTAGTCGTGGCGATTTTGAGATCATATTCAAGGTATGTTCGCGTACATAGTAATTACTTGAATATGTAGACGCATGCTAGGCTTTTGTTTAATCAATTTCCAAGTAGTATCATGATAGGTGATGGTTGGAATTTGTTGATTGGATTGATGTTGATGAATGATTTGTGATGTATGAATTATATATGGTTAATTGGTGATTGGAATTAATTATATTGGCATGTTGGATATGAACCACACTTTTATTATTGGCATGTTAGAGAGCATGTTTAATTAAACAAAAATGTTTAATTTGGTATGGAATATGAAAAGGGAATTTTATTATGGTTCACAATATTTTTATTAATGCTATAAGAATGAAGAAGGAGTTATTTAAGTGTCTTAGTACACAGGAATAAATTATATTGCAGTGCCTACGTGCACTTAAGGTGTTTCTAACACCGAGGGATAGAATTTGCAGTGCTCTATGCGCTTAAGGTGTTATTTAACACCGAGGTAGATTAAAAAGGGTTCAACATTAAATTTATGTGGTCACTAATTATTCAAGAATTAAATTGGTATGTTTGATTGCTTGAATGATTTATTACGTTTGATTGTGTTGTGTTTGAGAGTCATCACCAAGTCTGATAATTTGTAAATAACGTAAAGTGAAAGAGATTACGCTCGAAAACTCTTGGAACGTAAATACCTTGAGTATGAACATATGGGGGGAGTTATGGGGTTTTATATTTAACCATAACTTCTACTGGGAGTACAGGACGCTGTATATTCCTTCTTATTATGCGCCGGAATTCCGCCACTTACAAGTGGTTTATTTTATACTTTCACGGTTAGCTCCCGTGTTAGTACCCCTTTTATTGGGGCAGGTTAGGGGGGAAACCCGTTCGATGCGTAATCAAGCTAAATAATTGGACTTGTTATTTTCTAGTTAGGTGTTGAGTGTCTTGTGTGCTTGTAAACAGGTGCAACACGGTAAGTTGGGTGATGATATGATGAAAGCATGTTAGTGTGTTTTTATTACGATTATGTACTCAGCTTTGCTGATTATGTGTTTTCATGTTTGTTGGCTTTGTCTTTACCTTGGCCCTAAGACGACCCATTTTTAATGGCGAGTAGTGGGGATAAGTGTAGAGAAGCTTTTCAGGTGATGAAGCATGTTCATGAAGGGCATGAGTGAAGAGCGAATCATGCTTAGTTTTCATAGGAGTGTGATGTGTTTTATTTGCTTTAAATATAATTTATTTATATTGATCACAATAGAGCTAGTTCCAGGAACAGCACCAATTTCCAAGGCACCGTATAGAATGGCACCTGCAGAGATGGGTGAGTTGAAGGAGCAATTGCAGGATTTTTTAGAAAAGAGGTTATATCAGACCAAGCGCATCACCATGGGGAGCGCCAGTGTTATTTGTAAATAAGAAAGATGGAAGTATGAGGTTATGTATTGATTATAGGGAGTTAAATAAAGTCACCATAAAGAACAAGTACCCATTACCAAGGATTGATGACCTATTTAACCAGTTAAGAGGCGCAACTGTGTTCTCTAAGATTGATTTAAGGTCTAGATGTCATTAACTTAGATTTGCAGGTGAGGATATTTCCAAGACTGCATTTAGAACAAGGTATGGACATTATGAGTTCACAGTAATGCCATTTGGATTAACGAATGCTCCAGCAATTTTTATGGACTTGATGAATAGGGTGTTTCATCCATTTGTGGACAAGTTTATGGTAGTGTTCATAGATGATATACTGGTGTACTTGAAGAGAAAAGAGGAACATATAGAACATTTAAAGGAAGTTCTGGAAACACTAAGGGAAAACAAGCTTTATGCAAAGTTCTCTAAGTGTGAGTTTTGGTTAGAGAAAGTGGCATTTTTGGGACATTTTGTGTCCAAAGAGGGAGTAGAAGTAGATCCAGCAAAGATTGAGGCGATGAAGGGTTGGCCTACGCCAAAACCAGTGTCTGACGTTAGGAGTTTCTTAGGTTTAGCAGGGTATTATAGACGTTTTGTGAAAGATTTCTCGAAGATTGCTAAACCTATGACCTCTCTAATGAAAAAGGACAAAAAGTTTGAATGGGATGATAAGTGTGAGGAAGCATTCCAACTCATGAAACAAAAGCTAATCACAGCGCCAGTCCTTACACTACCAGATGTATATAGTGACGCATCCAAGAATGGTTTGGGTTGTTGCTTTTGCAAAATGGGAAGGTGATTGCATATGCATCAACACAGTTAAAGACTTATGAGGTAAATTACCCTACTCATGACTTAGAATTAGCTGCAATCATATTTGCGCTAATGATTTAGAGACACTACTTGTGTGTGGTGAAATGTAGAATTTATACAGACCATAAGAGTTTGAAATACATTTTCACTCAAAGGGATTTAAACTCACGCCAAAGGAGATGGTTAGAATATACGACCGATTATGACTTAGACATACAATATCATGAAGGGAAAGGATATATAGTCGTAGATGCTCTAAGTCGTAAAACCAGTCATGGACTGAATACTTTGATAATGGCGGATAAGTTATATATGTAGAGAAATGAGGAGAATGAAGCTAGAGGTGGTAGAATGGGGAGTGCCAGCAGGCATACTTGCGAATCTGAGTATTCAACCGACAATATTTGATGAGATAAGAGAAAATAAAAAAGATGTAAAGTTGGATAGGATTCGGGAGAAATAAGGCAAGGAAAAGCCACAGATTTCAAGATTTATGAAGATGGGAGTTAAAGGTACAAAGGTCGTTGGTGTGTATCTTTGCCGTTGCGACCTACGAAGGGTAATCGGTTGAGCATTTTCATTGTCAGTTTGATTCTGACCAATCTTCTTAGATGCTTCCAAAGCATCTAGATTGTCAGTTTTGTCAGGTTGACGTTGTTTCTCGTCCTCTCGAACTTCGTCGAGTTCGATTTTCCTCCCACTTGTCATTTTGGAAAGGTGATCCTTCTCCAAAAAGACACCATCACGAGCAACAAAAAAAATTTGTTCTCGGATTTATTGTAGAAGTAATACCCTTTGGTTTCTTTTGGATATCCCACAAAGAAACACTTATCCGATTTGGGGTGAAGTTTGTCCAAAATTAATCGCTTGACATATGTTTTGCATCCCCAAATCTTGAGAAAAGACAACCTAGGAGGTTTCTTAGTCCACAATTCATATGGAGTCTTTTCAACAGCCTTTGACGGAGCTTTGTTTAGTGTTAGTGTTGCAGTTTGTAGCGCATGTCCCCAGAAAGAGATAGGGAGTTCACTAAGATCCTTCATTGATCGAACCATGTCTAACAAGGTTCGATTCCTCCATTCGGACACTCCGTTCCATTGAGGAGTTCCGGGAGGTGTCACCTCTGAAAGAATACCATTTTCTTTCAAGTGATCGTCGAATTCATGGCTCAAATATTCGCCACCTCGATCCGATCGAAGTGCTTTAATTTTCTTGCCAAGTTGATTTTCAACTTCTTTCTGAAATTCTTTGAATTTTTCAAAGGATTCAGATTTATTCTACATTAAGTAGATATAGCCATAAGTACTAAAATCGTCGGTGAAAGTGATGAAATATCGGTAACCTTGTCTTGCGGGTGTACACATTTGTCCACATACATCCGTGTGTATTAGACCTAATAAGTCACTTGCCCTTTCTCCCAACTTGGAGTATGGTTGTTTTATCATCTTGCCTAATAGACATCCTTCGCAATTTTTAAACGACTCTAAGTCGAATGAGTCAAGAACACCTTCTTGAAGAAGTTTCTTGATGCGTTTGATGTTAATATGGCCAAGACGACAATGCCACAAGTAGATTTGATTCGACTTGATGGTCTTAGTTCATTTGGTATCAATCATATTGTCTTTGTGTAAAGCATGCAATTTAATTTGAATATATGTTTGCAAGAAAATTTTGAAACAACTATTGTCAAAATTTAACAAGCAAAATAACTAGGTGTCCAATACCATGGATCAAAATATTGTTCAAGACGCATGATAAAACTAGGATTAGTTTTAATTACATCTCAAAGACAAAATAGTGCATGCAAGCACGACCGAAAAACCATCTTCGTCGTCCACTTGTCCATGCATCAACACTTGATAAGCTTTCTCACTTGGTTCCTAAAAAGGCAACATAAAGTGAGTCATACTTGGTATCCAATACCTATGATAAGCTTAATTCACAAGTGTTTAGGAAGATACCTGAGGTAGTCGGAATGTTCCCCTCTTCCTTGAAGAGCATGTATTCGCTCTTGTAGTGGCCTTGCATGCCACAATGGAAGAATCTCATCCTTGCCTTGACCTTCTTGAACTCCTTCTTTTTAGCTCTCAAGGGCCTTTTGGTCATTCCATAGGCGGTGGCTTGGCTAAGAAGTTGCACCACCTCCTTGAGGGAGTGTGTCTCCTTTCCCGCAGCTATATGCACTCTAAGTGCATCATAGCCCGAGTGGAGTGAAGCAAGCAAGATATGCCCCGCCATCTCATCTTCCAATGGGATTCCGAGAAGCTGCATGTGTTTGAAGAGTCTAGTCATTCCAAGCACATGAGGTCGGAGGGGCATGCTGGGTCTCAATTTGGCATTGTAGACCTTTGTCCAAAGCTGGCGCCTTTCCTTAGCAAGACATTCCACGTGTGGTGGCTTTATCCTCATGTTTGAGAGTGACCTAGTCAAGTCAAACACGAGGCCATCAAAGTTGCCATTGTCACACTTGGTGACTCTTACATTGACAATATCCTCAAGTGCTTTGAGGAACATGTCCGGGAGATAGGAGGTAAGACTTTCCTTCCAATCTTCCGGGATGGAATTTGCCATAAGTCGTGAGACCTTTTTGCAATTGGAAGACCATTCTTCATGAGCCTCATCAGTCATGATTCCTTTGGCAAAGAAGCTTGGAATGGGAGTATCAAGAGTATACTCCAAGGAACAATTCCGGAGAGTTCTCCTGAGTTCCTCCTCCCATTCCTTGAAGTTGACCAAGTTTAAGGAAAAGGCCAACTTCTCGGGGAGTTCCGGGCACATATGGTTGTTGTTTGAGTTACTTGCAGACATTGTTCTACAATTGAAAGAATTTGAAGTAAGAAAACCATTCATAAATCAATAAGTTGAAATTTAAAACGTTCATGCATATTTTCAATCTTATTGAGCATTTTATCCACGCATTTATAAAATTGTCCCTATTAGGCGAGAATAAAATGATTCCGAGATCCCAAAGATCAAGAAATGGTTAAGCATGCTTTGGCTTGTCTTAATCATTAAATATCTCAAGGTAAGCAATCCAATTGCTAATAGCTCCAAGCTACTCTCGGTTTGATAAAACGTCGCATCTAATGCATCCTTGACATTTTATCTCTTTTGCCACGACATCTAAGGACTCCTTACTGATATCGTTGAGCTTAACCAAGACAACTTGTATACCTAGTATACCTTACGTTCCTAGGGAAGTAGTGATGTCTCTCTTTGGCGTAGTTCATCACGTACGCGCATTAGTTCGGTAAGTGTTGTTCTTGGAACGGCAAATTTTAGCTCAATATTATTAAGGGACCTAGGGTTTCTATGTTAGTTGATTTAAGTGAACTTAACTAATCGTCGCAACATATAGAAATCCTAGACATGCATCTAGCAATCATATATAACAACAATATATATAAAGCATAAAAAAATAGATGCATTTGGCAACTAGCATGACCCCTTGAAATCTTCAATTTCCATGGGTCTTCATCTTGGCTCGTCTTCATCGAAACGTCGTCTTGAGACATCTTGGCCAAAATAAAATAAACTAGCTAGAACGAATAAGATTAATCTAATAGTACAAAAATACTTAACGGTTCGCAGACCGTATTTTAGATTTACAAAAATACATAACGGAACGCAGTCCGTATTTTCTATCCTAGTCGGACCCCACTAGTTGCCTTTTTCAATAACCTGTTTTGAAAACAATCTTCCATTCACCCATTCACTATTTGTGAATGGCCCATGCAATTTTACGAAATACATAATTAAACACACAAAACTAGTAACTAACTTAGGTGGTTAATCCGATTAACGCGCCTAATTAAAACTAGTCAAATTTGTTTAATCCATTATTTCTAAACGCAAAAAGCTCACGCAATTAATTAAGCTCCCACTAAATTCCGCATCCATACTTAATTAATCCGATTAATTAAGTCGGCATAACCTATAATTTGTCAAATTTTTGCAAGACCGAAAATCGAGGTTTTTAACCTCGTTAAAATAATCACTTAAAATTATTAAAATTGCAAAAATTGCAAAATCATAGCTCAAACATTAAGCAATAACTTCCCACAAAACTAGTGGGTGCGCACCATGGCTGCTAGGCAGCCCATGGCCCTGCACCATGGTGCGTGGTGCTGGCAACTAGCAAGCATGCCTAGCACAACCTGCCTTGCTAGCTAGCACCAGCAGCATGCTACGCATGCTAGCTGCTTGCTAGCGCAGGCAGCAGTGGGCTGGCTGGCTGGGGCTTGCTACCTCGCTGCCCAGCAGCAGCACAAACGCACCATAGGCAGCCACATGCGGGCTGCTGGGCAGCCCAGCTAGCCTTGGTGACACTTGGGGTTTTTGCCTCGATTTGCGTGCCATTTCTCGGAATTTAATTCCGATTTGTGTGTGACAAATTTTAATTCTAAATTACATTTTAGAATTAATTAGAGGAAAATAAAATAAAATAAAATAAAACTTAAATAAACTTATTTTTATTGGTGCACAAGCCTAAATTATCCAAAATTTTATTTTGAACAAAATTAGGTCTTTCTTTATGCTTGAAATAAAATGAGCTATGTCCATAATTAATCTTGCCAATATGCAAATTAATAATGGATTTGACAAATAGAAGTTGGAAAAACAAACTAATCATCTAATGAAAAATTTTCCAACTTTCATACTTGTGTAAAATACCAAGATTACATCTTCTAATATGAAGATTAATCAAATTTTCGTCACAAGTATTTGAACTTGATGGATTTTAATCAACCAAACATGAAAAATCCAAACTTTGTTCAACATGGAATTTAGGGTTAGGGTTCCAATCATTTAAACCCTTAAAGATTAGAACTTTAACATTATAGGAACTTAAAATTACAAGATCACAACAAGCTTTCACATTTTATTGCAATTTATTTGCAAAATTTGTGAAAAACAAGTTTATGTGAAAAATGGTATATCAACTTAAGCACTAATAAAAACTCCATTATTATGCTTAAGGATATT